ATCATAAATGGATGCGATGTCTGACAGTATTTTTCTTTTGTTAATAACGGAACCACTTTCGTATGGTGTGACTTTATATTGCAATAGGTCTTCCTTTGGATTCCAAATAAGACCCAAAATTTTTGTAGGACCGTTGTCCAATTCCATAATTAAGTTCTTTTCATTACTATTTGATCCGAGTATACCTTCCAGTAAGATAGGATAATTTGCAGCCCACTTACGTAACTCAAAACCACCTTTACGTAAAATATTTATAACGTCGTCTCTTATACGTATAGTATCTTGAATTGTATTTGCTCCTGACAGCAGGTCATCCATATAGAAATCATTTTGAATGATTTCGGCGGCACCTGGATGGTTTATCAATTCTTCTTCTGCCAACTTGTGTAGACAGCCTGTCGCTAAAAACGAGGCCGGAACGGTGCCATACGTTATGGTATTTAAACGATATATTTGTATTTTTTCATTAGTGCTAGGACGCCACAATATCAGTTGATAATCTCGATGCTTTTCTTCGATCAGGACTTGACGGTACATTTGCTTGATATCAGCCGTTATGACGTATTTATGGGTACGGAATCGCGCCAACAAGGTAACGAGCTCCTCCTGTATTACGGGACCTTTCAATAATACGTCGTTTAGGCTTAGGTTCGAAGTAGTTCGGCACGTGCCGTCAAAAACGACACGTAATTTAGTGGTGGCGCTATCGGTTTTTATTACGGCATGGTGTGGCAAAAAATAATGCTTTTTCGTGTCATATGAATCCACAGGTGACATGTGACCTAAACTTTGATACTCTTCCATGAATTTCACATAATCCTTTTTTAAGGACTCATTTGCATTTAATTTTCGTTCTAATGCCAGAAACCTTCGCAACGCTATATCTAGTGACTCGCCTAATTTTGTCACCGACTCGCGAAACGGCAGACAAACTGTAAATCTCCCGTCTTCTTGTCTTCTTACTGTACTATCAAAGTGCTGTCGGCATAATTTTTCTTCTAGCGAATACGATTTTTCTGGCGGGATTTCTTCCGATTGCAAAAATCTTGAAACCTTTTCTTCCAATCTTAGCATGTCTGTGCACGCGACAAACGACATAATTGATGTGGACGGATTGTTTTTTGCACTGGGCACTTGACCACTTATAATATAACCGAAATGTGTTTCTTGAAAGAATACTCCATTTTTCACTGGCTGGATACGATCGGTTCCTAATACTTCAAAAAATACTGAAGCACCTAAAATAATATCGATTTTTTGCGGCTTATAATATTGTGGATCAGCCAGCTGAATATTTTTTGGAACATTCATGTTGGATGTATCTATATACATTAACGGTATATTATTTGTTAACTTGGATAACACCAAAAACTCAAAGGTTGATTTATAATTAGAACCTAGCGATTCTATTGTAGCATACACCGCAGATGACGATTCTTGTTGAGACTGACCTATACCGACAATAGCACATGATATTTTCGAACGTCGTAGTTTTAATATTTGACATACTTCCTCACTCATAAAATTATTTTGAGACCCAGTATCTAACAATACGCGACACTTCATCAACTTTCCGTCTTTGTTATATACCTTTACTATAGCTGTAGCTAGCAAAACGGTGGCGCACGTATCTACCTTTGATGCGTGAGCACTTATGGACGCGGTTTCCGTTACATTTACATTTGATTTTTCAGTCAACGTATTATTTGTACTGGACTCGCTGGTCGTAGTTGCGAAATTTTTCTTTTTAAGATTTTCTGCTTTCATTAGATGTAATAAACTATTGTGTGGGCGCGAACATTTAGCACAACAACGTGATTGACATTTAATATTAGGATGAGAGCGTAAACAAATTTTACACAATTTAAGAGCATCGATTTTCTTTATGCGATCGTTCACAGACAAGGCTAAAAATGACGGACAACGATAAATTGTATGTGCACCAGCGCAATTAAAACATTTTATTTCATTCGTTGAAACATGTGCAGTTGACTTGTTTGGCCATCTTTTGGTTACAGTACTGCTTACTTGTTGTACAATATCACTATTTGAGGACTCGATTGCTTCTAACACAAGGAATCTATTTTGCAAAAATTCTAATAACTTTTCTGCCGTAGAAATTTCATTCTTTTCTATTTTGCAAAAATTCTAATAACTTTTCTGCCGTAGAAATTTCATTCTTTCCGATACTGTCTCCCATTCGCGCAGGCATTCTTTGTCGAGTTTAATCGTAATTAAATGAATTAGCAACGAGCCCCATAACTTAGGCTGCTGGCCTAACATTTGAAGAGCATTAATATGACCGTTTAGCCCATCGATTAATTGACGCAATTGAAATGACGATTCCGACGTGACAGCTGGTAATCCATACAACGCCTTCGTGTGATTTTGAATTAACACCTTTTTATTGTTGTAACGCGATACTAAGGTTTGCCATGCAATTCTATAATTTTCGGAGGTTGTTCCTAAACATTGCAAGCATTTTTCGGCATCACCTTCGAGTGCCTCACGCAAATAGAAAAATTTTTGTATTTCCGATATGTCCTTATTGTTATGCACAAATGCTGTGAAAATGTCATAAAAGGTTGCCCACTCTGAATATAAGCCCGTAAATTTTGGTATTTGCAACGCAGCTAATTTTACGGGTGTTACTTGGCTACCACTCGCATTATTATTGTTCTGACTATTGCTTTGAATTTCACTATTTGCAAAAAGATAACTGATGCTGTGCTCTAATTCTTCTTCTTTTATTATTTTTTCGCAATTCGCTATAGCTTTATAATACACATTTTCGACTTCAACGCGGTAATTTTCACTATCCTCCGATACACCACTTTCTTCTTCAATCGACGACTGAACTTCCTCAAAAGCATCAAACAATTCTTTTAAACGATCCTTTCGACTTTTTATTTGATTAACTTCGAGGCTACTCCGGTCTCCTAGCGTGTAACTTAAAATACGCGTCATTTGGCCCTTTAATACTCCGCGGCGATTTACAAGCACTGCCGGATCACCCATAGTAAATAATAATTAATTATTCAGATTTAAATAGACTACTTCGGTAAGGTAGCGCAAATTCAGTTGAATTGTAACGACTAAAGCATAGAAAAGGAACACTGTTGTATCTATTCGAGGAGTTTGCCTAAGGTACTTATAATTAAATCTCTGACCTTTTTTAATCGACGTTTGATCTGTGTTGAGTTGATAACCATGGACAATTCAATTTCTCACTGACCGACAGAATGAACTAAAAATCGTCTGATGGAACTGCCCGCAATAGCTTCAATTTTACAGCTGAATTCAGATGAATAACACTCATGTATCAATATTATAAACACAACGTGTGATGCGATTATGCGATATCAGATATTCGATGTAAACAACTATACGCGATATGATTTATCAATATACGACGCGACACTTGTACGCGGCGACGGTACGACTACTATGACAACGTTACATCGACTCAACGCTTGTACGAATTTCGCTATAACGAATAACGATTTACGAATTAAAACCGATTTAACGAGAAACCAAATATGACCGCGATCGAAATACAGAATCAACTTACGAATTACGATATAGATGCCACGACGCGTTGCGGTTCGCACAAACGACTTATTCACGGAAACGAAATGAAATATATTTTATTTGACATAAACTAAAACGAGTCCATGACATACGATTAATTTCTTTCTTTAATTTTCTTTTATGCACGATAGGTTGCAAACAACGCACTATTTGTAATTAAGATTCACAGGTTAACGATTAGCTTTTACGATAAATACTTTATTCGACCTTTATATTATTAATTTGAAAACAACAAAAGAACGCACTCCGCGAAATGTGAACACGTGTTTTCAACTTAATACGCGGAACGTATCCGGCTCGAAGGACCATGTTATCTTTCGCAATGTTTTACGGTTGAAAACCGTAGGCAGGAATAAAGTATATTTAAAATGAAAACCACAGAATTTACTTTACTCGAAAAACTTTTATTTTTCTTAAGTGAATATACATTTTAATGAGCGCATTTTCTTTCGAGTACACAATGAACAACATAAACTAAATGTGGACTGTATGATAACGATATTGATAATATTATTACTGATTGAAGTTAGGCTATACTCGAAATCAAACATATGTAATATAATATATTATGTATGTCATTTTGTGTCTTGAATGAAAAAATCAAGTAGATCTACGATATCGAGCTTTAAGGAGGCGTATTCAAAGGCGTCCAACGTGAGGACCAATAACGACACGGTTTCAATTGCCGAACTGCGGCTGCGCGATCACAATAACCTCCCGCAGCATGTAGTAAACGCCTACAACTTGTAGTTCTCCAAGCACTGACCGGTTATGTAAAATGTAAATATTATATTAAAATATTGCATTTCAAAATTAAATAAAAATATAGGTATGTTAAATAGTTAAATATAAGTATTGTCAATATATAACTATAACCGTAGGTAACACGTATAAGATAAAGTATATTTTTGTACTTTGTGACATCTTTACAGGTACGTCGAACTCCCAATCATTTATTGTTACTAAGATATATATTTTCTAAGGTTTCCAACAACGTGATATTGGAACGTATATAAGGAAACGTTATCTAAAAAAAAAAATATGTATAAAACTGCAGTTTTAATACATGCATGAAAAATGGCAAATAAATTACAAAAATTCATCAAAATTCCAAATATAAATTAATAATATTTTATATATGAAGGGAACTATTTGCATTTTGAAATTTTATTGAACTAGAAAAAATAGTTGTGAAAATATACTCGAAGAGATAGTAGGTACCTACATCAGAATGATATTGGGATAGAGATTTAAAATATGCACATTCCACCATTGTCGTGTATACTTAATAGTCGACTTATCGGTTATAACAATAAATGACTAATAATTAATTTAATATTTAATATTTGATATTTTGGATTTATCTTTACGTGAGACTGTGTGAGTATTGAGTGTGTGAAACGAGCTTTTTTTTTTTTTGTGTGCAAATGTGTGTTAATATTTTGTTGAACATTTGCTTCAACAGCTATCTATACTACATTTTTCAGTATTTTGAGAGTAAGTACCAACGTTTTGAGTACACAATGTTGAGTCAACATTGATGTAAACATGTGTCTCACACATTAACTAAACTTTAATTTTTATTATTTAATTTTTTTAAATTTATAATTTTTCATATTTCAACATTTGAATAAACTAAAAAAAGTGAATAATCAAACAACCATTGAAAATTATTAGGTTCAAACGAACCAACTAAATTTAAGATTACAACGTACAAACATTGGAGTCAGCCGTAGTAGATAATAAATTTATCTTGCATTTCATAATATAAAATAACAATATATATAACGTTTATTCTTTGATATAACATGACATTATACTTTATAGTACACGTTAAAATGAACATAATGAATGATAAAACTAAATTAAATTAAACTGAAAAAAATTCGTAGTGTAATTCGACGCTCCACTGTATAGGTACTCGCATAGACGGATCTTTAAGTGAAGATTAGAAGTTACTCTTAATTATTTATAGAATTTCTTAAAAGTATTGAAAAATTGGTTAAAATATTAAATTTATAATAATATATTCGGATATTCCTTACGTAAAGTACATGTTTAAATCTATAGTTGTGTGGGTTAGTTTTGAAACTTAGTCGTTCAATTAGTAGTCTATAACGTTATTAAATAATTAGTACGTAATTTCAATTTGAATAGTTTAAATATTTAATTTTTTAGTAGTGGTAAGACAGAGAAACAACATTTTTATGTTTTCGTAATGTTAATAAGGACCATTGTATTTTTTACATATTGAAAACAAAAATCTTAGAAAATTACTCTGTATTTATTTAGACAAAGATTTTGATTTTGAACTATAGTTGGTACCTATGTCATTTTAAGAAAGTGAAAAACCACAAAAATTATTATTATGAACTATTGTCCTTTGGCTAGAAATTACTCATGATAATATGTTCTTTTAAGGAGTTAAATATATTAATAATTATAAAATTTGCTATCATTATAGTTGTTGATTCTGAGCGGTTAGCGCTGAAGCAATGTTTTTTTTTCTATCTTTCGCCTACTTTTGGGGTAGTAAAAATGCTACGACTTTTCGGAATTATCCCTCAAAACCACTTTGCGTACATTATTGTTCACTTAACAAAATGAAACAATTTTAAATTACTTGGATAGCTACATTTGAGCTCTTTAACAAAAGTTCCAATTTACTCCGTTCTTTGAACTGAAATGGTATAATCTGGTGTGGTATTTAAGGTCAAAAGTACAATTTTTAACAATAAACCAGTGGATAATGAAATAATTAACCATTCAATAATTATTAACAAATTAAAATAAATAAATATATTTCCTAAAGTTGCTTTTTTGCGTAAAACTTGTGTATTCCATTCTATGCACAAATTCCGGGTTGCTCGAAAAATTAAATTATTCAATGGATCAAAGCTGACTAAACTATGTTTTAAATATATGTTCAGCATTTTCCATCGAATTCAAAATTTATTTTTTTTATATTTGAGTTTAACTTATTATACACGGTGGATACAGTCTTGGATAGTATTCCGAATACTATTTGGAATACTTTCAAAATACTTATCTCAAAAGTATTCTGAATAACTATTTAGAATACTTTTTAAAAGTATTTTATCTAAGTCTGTGGTCTCGTGTATAGCTCCTCGTGTTTCACAACTGGCGAAAAAATCGGTAGGCTTGAGTTATGGCGGATAACACCGAAATAATTAAAACACTATTATGGAAAACGCCAAGTATTTATCAGAATAGTATGAATGCAATAATTGTGTAAATTGTATATATTAAATTTAAAATACTTTTTTCACTTTCATTAAAATTAAATACAACTAATAATGCATGGGTAACGCTAAAAATTAAATAGATTTTAGGTGCTGAACAGATGTGAAAGGATGAATGTATTGATTTTATAACTGGTACTATTCAAAATTGAATTGTTGTTCAAACTATTTACAATGTTTATAATATAATTTGATAAGTCACCATCGTCAACAAGTTAAATTTAAATAATACTTAAAACAACAAAATAATGTTAACAATCAAAATTAACAAAAAACACAAATAAGTAGATACAAAGTAGCTGGCGGGTAAAATAAATATAATATAATATAATTTATGATTAATAATAATTATTTCGTATACTTTGCTATACTATTTAAAAATAATATTGTCTGAAGTGAATTTAGTTGGTATTACAAGATACAGAAGGTCAAAATTGAAAATTCCTTATAGTTTTCAAAAGTAACAGGGAAAACAAACAAAAAATAAGAAAAAACGAAGATTTACGAATTTTTCGAAAAAAATGATTTTGGTTTTTAGTGTAATAAATTCCATATAGATAAATAACATTTTCACTGAATGTTTGTGTGACCATTTTCTATATACACCATGTATATATATTTTTACTCGTGTTGAACTATTTATAGGCGTATGAAATGTTCGATTATAATTTGTATTTTTTACTAATGTCGATAAAAATGTTTTTGTCAGTCAATAACTTGAAAATGTAATACAAAAAACGAAAAAGTAAAGTTCCTCGAAAATTGTTGTCTGTGGAATTAGAAGATAAAATTGAGGGTATATCCACAATAAGAGTGTCAAAATGTTCGTTTTATATATAATATTTTAATATTTAATACAAGATTTCTTATAAGTTTGTCTAAATTTGTCAAAAAAAAAATTTTAAAGGAAATTTGAATTAAATTTTTATGAGAGTTTGAAGTTGACATTTTTACAACATTGGATATTCACTCGACTTCTCATGTAGCGATTTTCTTATTTTGTTGTAATTCAAAAACAAATAACTATAGACACTTGAAATTTACACCATATATTATTTAAACAATTTATATACCTTCTTGTTAAAATGACAAGACATTATGAAAATAATAATAGGTATATATGAAATATATTTTGCCTTGTTTTTAGTTGTTTACGAAGATTTT